ACCATAATCACCATGTCAAAAACTTTTCATAAGTGAGCAGAATCGGTTAGCCTTATGATTACACAAGATAAATCTGAAATTGATGATATGGAGGAGAATTTCTCAACAATTGACTCTGAGCTAATATTGTTCGATTTTACAAAAATTAAAGAAAACAGTTACTTGAATGATAAGCTAAATGAATGACAAATTCAAGAATTGCATGACCTGCTATTGAAATTTACAAAAATCTCTAATATGCCTGGAAAAATGCATTTAATAACACATGAAATTCAATTGACAGAAAACACACTGATTCACTGTAAACCTTACAGAATATTTCCCAGACAAACAGATATATGAAAAACAGAAATTGATAAAATGATTTGACATAAAATAATTGATATAGGAGATTCAGATTACACTTCTCCGATGATTTTAATGGAAGTAGCAGGAAGAGATCCTAGACCTTGCATCAATTATAGAAAATTGAATAATTTGACTAAAACACAATTCTTCACCTTGCCTAATATCATACAATGGGCAGAAACTGTAGCAAGCTGCAAAGTATATAACTGTTTTAGATTTAACATAGGGATACTGGCAAATACCGTTAACAACTAATGCCTAAAGATTAGCGACTTCTGTTACAAGTTTTGGTACATTTGACCTTTGCGGATGTCTTTCGGACTTAAAAATGCACCATTTTCATTTAGCAAAATGATGGCTGGAATTCTTCGCGGTTGTGAACACATTGCTGTTCTGTATTCAGATGATTGGTAATTTTTTAAAACATATGGGAAGAACATCTAAGTTATCTGAATGGCATTTTACCAAAAATAAATGATGCTGGTTTAACCATTAAACCTATAAAGTGTAAATTTGCTCAAAATAGAGTAAAGTATCTAGGACATATTGTAGGTCATGGTATAAGAATGCCAACTGAACTCAAAATAAAAGCTGTTCTTAATTTTCCTGCACCATCTATAAAAAGTCAAGTTGGAGCATTTTTAGGACTAGTGGGATATCATTACATTCCTACGTTCACATCTATAGCAGCACCTTTAACTAAAACTTTGAAAGGAATCCTAACAATGGAGGAAAACAAGGAAAAATAAAAATGGATAGAACAAGGAAAAATAAAAATGGATACAAGGAAAAATAAAAATGGATAGAAGAGTGCACAAAAGCATCTGAAGAGCTAGAGGGAAAACTGTCACAAAAGCCTATACTACACGCACCTGATTTCAATAAAGAGTTTATTTTGCAAACTGATGCTTCAAGTTCTGGTATAAGTGTTATTGTAGCTCAGAAAGATGAACAAGACAATGAACATCCAGTATAACCGATCATATTTCCTTAGTTTAGCTAAAAAATAATGTAAGTCTAAATTTCAAACTTGGGCAGTGCTATTACAACCCTATAATTGCACTTTCATTAATAGAAGTGGTAAAACCCATCAAAATATAGATACATTAAGCTGTACTTCCTAGCCTGATTAAAGAATGTTTCTCTATTTAGATGGAAATTTACTTTGTTCTTTCCTCTCTTTCTGACTGTATGTTATTATGTTATACAGTCACTAGTCTTTAATCTGGATGTTCATAATCTGGAATGATCTATAATCTGGACCTCAAAGCTACAAACTTTCTGCGCATGCATCAACGCATGCGCACAATACCTTCACGCATGCGCATAATACATTTACGCATGCGTGTTTAATGTATAACCGAAGGTATAAGCGAAGCTAAAATTATCTAATTATCTATTTCAGTTAATGTTACGGATTGCGTTGTTCCTTAGTCTTCTAATTGGATCCGACTTATTATTTTTTGCAGACTGTTAGAGCAATTTTATAAAAGTACGCTTGAACTTTCGATTATGTCAAAAAGAATTTCTGATTCTGGAGCTACCAAAGGATCTACAAAGCGAAAGCTTCGATGTCCATCAAACAAAAAGTGGAATTGCTGCAAAAAATGGATAAAGACATATCCTTTGATTCTCTAACCATTCCGAAATATGTTTCAATTTCACGATGCTCTGCGACCGGGGGGGGGGGGACGTGGCACGCAATGAACTGGAAATTGATCTGTCAGCATTATCCTTATCTTATCTCCAGGGCAGATGTTTTTATTTTATTCGGCTTATAATGCCTTACTAAATGTAGTATTTCATCTCGATGTACTCCATCTTTGATATGATTTAAATCAATCAATTCCTCGTCATTATAAATACATGAATACACATCAAATAGTTTTCTAGTTGCAATTTTCTAATTTCGACTATGTGTAATGCATGCTTTATGTATGCGCGCATTGAAAGAAATGTTTAATAAAGTAAACAAATAAATATTAAGCTTTTTTAACATTTTGATACCCTTTAGATCATAATTGCTCTTTATTTCATAAATTACGGTTTCATATTTTTAATTTTATAATTTCTGCATGCCATCTTACCAGATTTAAACTGATGATTTATCATCCAGAAAAACTGATAATTCGGAATCGAAGTCCCAACGAGTCCAGATTAAAAACTTTTGACTGTATCTTGTATTTCAATTATGTATATAATATTATGTTCTTTTGAAAGAAAAATTGTAAACTTTAATTTAAAAAATTTCAAAGTTTAGGAAGGAGAGGTTATAATATTTCCTTATTTAACAAATATATATACTTATTATCTTTGACACTAGAGTGGCAATGCCATATTTTTGTATTGTGTAACCGTTGCTGAGCAATGTCAGAAAATGCTGAAAAAGCTTTTCTATTAAAGAAAGAAAATGTAGTAATGGGCTGGAGTGTGATGCTGTAACGGAAAGAACTGTATTTTAAATTATCTATCTCTGTGAACTCTGAATAAAATCTGTATTTTACTAAGAAGCTCATCAGTAATTTTTGTTAATTGCTGCAAAAAACATTACACACACACACATATATATATATAATATATATCAATGAATTTGAGTTCATTCAATATATATATAAACATGCACATACACACACACACACACACACACACAGATATACATGATATTTTGGCAGCTAGGCACATGAATGAAGCTTGGTAATCTGGTCACATCAGACATTGGGTGTAGTCGTTGCAAAGTGAAAGGCAGCCGAATTGAAGATACAGAAGAATTTCATTAAAAAAAAAAAAAAAAATCCATATCTTTATTCACTTGGAATGGCAGATCACTATTCTTTGAGATTCTCCAAAATTACATATCCAATAATGATTTAAATTAAAATAAGGTTAAACTTAAGCTTTCGACATCATAGCTATTCTAACAAAGGGAAGAAGAAGGGACAGAGCAGCGCAAGGTCTTATGGCAGAGAACAGTCTGACGAAAAATGGCACAAACTCTGCATTTATAGTAGCGATTACATAATATGCCAGAATGTTCTCGAAATTACGGATCTAGTGGGAAGATTCCGAAATTGCAGAAAGTTAATTAGAGGTTGCCTGTTCGCATAGAGAATAAACTATCATATTTTTTATACATAAAAACTGTCTCTCAGTTTTTATGTATACAAAATACAATGGTTTCAGGAAGCTTTATAATGTTAATATTCATACTGTTACAGTAAAGTCACTGATAATTAGCATCCAGTTAAATAAAGACACAATAACACGCCGAACAAATACTAAGTCAGAAGTCAAACAACAAAAATCAGCGTTACATTTTCAAAATAATGCTGATTTTTGCTGTTTGACTTCTGACTTAGTATCTAGTTAAATGCTGTTTCAATGGTGATAGGAATAACACTCTGAACAATACTCAATGCAAATCCTGTATTGCTTAGTATTGATTCTACCTTCACCATCTTTTCTGTTTCCAGAAGAGTTCACAAAAAGAAGAGATGCACTGTTGGCAATTTACATTACAGTACTGTAGAAGCCTCTGAGAAAAGAGACGTGCCTACTTTTAATATATTAATAAATTAAAATAAAAAACTTAAATTTAACAAAAAAAAAAAATGAAAACATGTCCAGTTTTGAAATTTAATAAATAACAAGTGCATAAATGTTAAAAATTAAATGCTATAAAAGAAGAATTTACATCGTGCAGTACATTTTTTTCAGGGGGCTGGTGTATCTAGAAAAGTAAAAGGATCAGCTTATTTGTAAACTGATAATGCCTTAAATTTATTAAAATTAAAATTTTAATGTAACTTAGTATCACAAATTTATTAAAATTAAAAATTCAGTAAATTACAAAACAACTAGTACCTTCATCAGTTCAACACCTACAGACATAAACTGTTTTTGTTTGTGAAATTATTTATCAACCCTTTATTCCAAGTTAAACCCTTTATTAAGTTTAAATTTTCATCTTAATTTATTAACATTACACCAATTATTGCAGCTTATAAGGTATAACTGGATATTGGTTTTGAAAATATTTTTTTATATTTATGACATGATATACGAGGTACGATTCAAAAGTTCCTGGACTGAGTCTATAACGTAAAAAATAGTATGAATTAAATTGCAGAAACAGATCTTCCTTCGAAATAAGACCCTTATGCAACAACACAATTTTGCCAGTGCCTGTAGAGTTCATCGAAGCATGTCTGGAATCCATTTTTGGTCATGTCCTTTAATTCAGCCTGCATTGCACATTTAATTTCATCTGAAGATTGAAACCAACGACCCTGCAAGCATCTTGCCAGTTCAATAAATAGGAAAAAATCACAAGTTGCAAGATCAGGTGAGTAAGGAGGATGAGGCAAAATAGTTGTTTTCGCAAGAAAGGGTTTGATGAGTAGGAATCGGGAAGCAGGAGCGTTGTCATGCAACAGCATCCATGACTACTTAGCCCATATTTTTGGTCTCTTCTTCCGGATCGACTCATGCAAACGACGCAGGATTTTGACATAGAGTTGTTTGTTCACAGTGCATCTTTCAGGGATAAATTCCAGGTGCACAATGTTCTGGAAAACAAAGAATACCTCTAGCATGACCTTTCCTTTAGAGCAATCTTGGCATAATTTCTGCTTCTATGGAGATTGTGGTGATTTCTAAGCTGCCAATGCTCTGTTGGTTTGAGTGTCGTACAAAAACCATTTCTCATCTCCAGTAACAATTCTGCCACATAGGGAAGGATTTTTGTCTAGAGCCAAGATTAAGTCTCCCGCCACTTCCCTTTGAATTCCCTTTTGGTCTATGTTTAACATAAGGGGAAAGATGTGTTGACCCACTCTATGCATGTTAAGATCTTTAGTTAGTATCCACTGACATGTGGTCTCTGGATATCCCACTGATTCTGCTATTTGGCTAATTGTTTGCTGTCTGTTTGCATGTACCCCCACAAACACCTTTTTGATGTTTTCATTAGTGTACAAAGTCACGGGATGGCCCCAGCATTCGTTGTCTTTGGCCCTTTCCCTGCCTTCTCTAAAATGACAATGCTGCTCAAAGGTTTGCGCTTTCGATAACGTTTCACTTTCATACACATGATTCAACATTTCAGAAGTCTCCGTAGCACTCTTTCCCAAGCGAACACAAAATCTGATATTGATTCTCAGCTCAACTGATGCCATTTCTTTCTATCGACGGTTACTAAATGCACCTGCCTACAAAAAAATGCTGTCGCAGAGAGCTTTCAACCACGTAGTTTGGAACAAACCACTTTTAGAAAAGGGGAAGAACATAGTAACACAAAAACATCCTTGTAGTCAAAAAAATTTTATATTATAGGTTCAGTCCGAGAACTTCTGAATCCTACAACGTATATATGTGTGTATATAAACTGTAATGCTTTTTTATATGTGTTCTAACTTTTATTTATTTTTAATGGTAAACTTAGTACAGTTTTTATTGCCATATGATAAATTATGAATCTCCAGGAAAATACAGCTTAAGCATTTATTTTTAGTAAGTTACAACACAAAAAAAAAAAAAAAAAAAAAAAAAAATACTGAAACTTTTCTATTTTTATGTTTTACTTTTTGCAGTCATCCCCCTTCTTTTTAAATATGCTTTTCCACTTGAAAACTATGCGGATCTTAACCTTTTTATTCCATTTATGATAGCAGATACAGATCCACAGAAAGCAGGCTTTTCCAGAATTATTTCCTGAAATTCACTTTACAGAAATCATAATGTAGCAAAGTAAGAAAGACAATGTCTTGGAGAGAGCCCAAGCAGCACGTCTCCAAAAATATACGTATAATTTTGGTGAAATAAGGGTATGGTATTTTTTGCACGTTACTTTTACGAAATTTATACGAATGGAAAAGGCTGAAGTTACTGTTACTCTTGATCGTATTTTTCCACACGTTATTTTTACGAAAATTATACGATCGAATGTACTGATAAAACTACGCCATGATGTATATTTTATTCGTCACTTTTACGCATATTATACGAATCCGAATGTTTCTGAAAGAAAACTACTGCCTTTATGTATATTTCATTCGTCACTTTTACGGATATACGAAGTCTAAAAATTGAAAATGAAGTTTTATTAATTCAAAATTTAGTGTATTTCTGGATTTCACTTTGTTTTCCTTGTCCACGAACATGAAAAAAGGGGCATTCATATATGAGGCTAAAATTTTTCTATAAATTTAACATGTGAGCTAAATCTTTACGTGCATTTTGCAAAAAATTATATTTTCTTAATTTAAACACTTCAAATAACTTATTTATTTTCTTATCAATTTTGTTATTTTTATTCATATAACACTAATTAATTTACACAATTTAATTTCTTTTATGAAATCCTATTACCCATTTAACTGAATAAGCTGTATTAAATTTGTGTAATTACTGAGTTGGTACAATACTCTCCTTTTTATTAGCAAATGGGCAATTGATTGGAATAAGACTAGACAATCTTTCTTGTCGAGGAATATAATAATAAATAGCAGAAGTGCTCGAAAACGTTTAACTTCTTGAACAATAGTTTAATGTAGACAAAGGAACATTAATTATAAAGATATCTAATATTTTATTAATATAATAATAATAACTCTACGAAATTGGCAAGCTGAATCCTGATATTTTACATATTTCAGTTCCTTAATCTTTGTTATAAAAATCATATGAGGCTAATTTTTAAAATTTTGTTTAATGTACGGAAAATGATATAGCGATTTTAATAATTTTTATATGAGGAAAAAATTATAAATAATGTAAATAAAATTATATTATATTTTATATTTTCCTGAACAGTTAAGACATTCTTAATATGGAGATCTACAGAATAAGTACAAGGTCCAGTTAATGAACTCAAATTTGCATAGTAATTTTACGCTATAAAAATTATCGGATTTACATTATACACTGAGCATGCGCATATACAGACATTTCTATTTTTCGTAGAAAAATTTAATTATTACCTTAATACAGAGATGCTGTGAATAAATTATATATGCAAAAGTAAGTTTATTTCATATGCTAATTTAGAGGCTTTCTTAATATGTTTAATTATAAAGAAAAAAAAGCTTTGCAATTCTTGTCACTGACCAATGGCAAAGCAGACTTTCTACTTCCGGTTGTGGCGGGATATTTGTGTTCAGTCAGCACTCACAATGGCGGTTGAAAAAGGATGGTAAGTCAAAATACTGTTTGTTCGTGGATTGGCGTTTGTGACAGAATCCATCGAAGTTACTATTATTTGAAAAAGTAAGTGAATATTTTATATTTTAGTGTTTAATTTGTACTTTTTTCACCTATATAAAATTTTATAAATAGCGTCTGTGTAGGAAATGTGATTTCCCATGTGTTGTTTGTTCTTTTGTGTACGTGCCTAATGATTAATTTCAGGATTGGTACTGTTATTTTGCACTAGTCTTTCTTACTGTTTGTGTCATCCTTTTTGTATTGTCTACCTTTTTATAGCTATATTATTTTTACTCAAAGTTTTAATATTTATCTTAAAGCATCTGAAATTAAGCAGGAAAAGCTTTTAATGGAAAAGAAAGGCAATATAAAACTATTGTTCAGAAATCTGTTATGAAATGTTATCTAACTTATGCAAAAAAAAGCATGTAACTTCATTTATTTATGAAATTCAAATTTTTTATTGCTTAGTGTTTTCCTAAAAAAATTTAATTTCTTATTTTTGAATTTAGTTTTATAAATTTGCTTAATATATATCTTTAACTCAAAGATATTGTGCTATTAAAAAGGAACTTTATGCCATAGAAACCACAGTACTTTGTTCCAATCTGTGTTCATTTTTTTATATATATAAGGAATTTTTATGCACATAATTACTGAATCTATCCTTTCATGAATAATAAGTAATCCTAAGTCCTTTCAGAATGCATTTATTTTGTTTGTTGATTTTGTTGTTTTAAAGATCTGCCATAGTTAAAGAAAGAAAATAAAGTAAGAATGCTTTACTTTCAGTTTGAATAAATTTATTATTTACTGCAGCTTCAAGTTTCTCTAACATAATTTTCGAAGTCAAAACTTGGATAGTTATGTTGATTATTAGACTTGCATGAAAAAATTTATGAAAATTAGTATTTGATCTAAAATACTTAAATTATTTGAATCATATTTTCTAAATCATGTATTTTGATATAACTAGAAGTTAAAAACTTTTAATTGTAAATGTTGCAGAAATGCTTATATAAAACCAAGAATTGTTTTATTTTGTTGCTTTTTCCTGTAAATTAATTATATATATATATTACAGTCTGGGGAGTCAGCGGGGATGTTTCCAAACCGCACTTGGCGAAATTGCAGATTGATTTCTATTTCATAGTTATTGAAATCGTAATGTATGTTTGTTTAAATTAGTACTGTTTATGAATGTGATAAAAATTTCTGAAAGATAAGAAATGATTTATTTTCTATTAATTACGAACTGTAAATAATGTAACCAATTTTCTTCATAGTATTTACTAAACATTTTTTTTTATAAAAGGGAGGTAGTTATTTATACAATTCCTGCAGAGATACCAAGAAATAAACATTTCAGGAATTTTCACTCAGTATATCTTGATGTGTAAAATCAAGTTGTTCAACGCCGTATTACTTTTTCATAGGAAAGTAATTTTATTGATCTAACATCTGCATACATCAAACTTTTTTTAAGAATGAATATAATTTCTAAGCTAACTTAAAATTTTCATATTTAGAAAATATATGTTTAATGTAGCATTAGTTTTCAATGGAATAGAAAAAGTTTTAAAAATGTTCAGTTGTTAGAGGAAAATAATATAAATGAGATTGTGATGATATAGTTTCAGCTGGAAATGAAACTGAATTTGCGGATAGTGAAGATTTCATTTAAGAATTTTAATAAAACTGATTAATGTAATTCCTCTGCATTAAAATTCTAATAAACTGATTAATGTAAATCCTATGCATTTAGAATTCTAATGACTGAGAATGTAAATCCTTGATTCATGTAGGTGTTCTTCTGTTATCAGGAGATTCAGAAATGTGTGTTTATATGCATGCATTTTTAAATGTAGGTGCCGTGTGTGCATGTGTATATTCTTATGTATGTATGTTGTTATATGGCATACATGCATATCACATCTTAATATCTACAGTGGAACCCTGAGATACGAGTTTATTCGTTCCAGCATTCAACTGGTATAGCGATTCTCGTATCTAAAACAAGCTTCCCCATTGAAATAATGGAAATTCAGTTACCCGTTCCACACCAAAAAATATCACATTTTAATATAAGTCAATTTTCCTAATAATAACACTGGTAAAATATAACAATAGTTTAACTTTATTACCAACATTTTAACTCATTCTCATTAATCCACACCAACAACAGCTTCCAACATCTAGGAGTACTTATGGTGCTTGGAACACGATAATTCCTTGGCTACATCAGGTTTCTTAATTTCTTCTGCTCTTCAGAATAGTATAGATTTTCGATATTAAAAGCCGCAAGTCTTCGCCAATTCGGTCACCATGCTTATGTTTATCTACGATTTCTTTCTTGATATCGACGGCACCTCCTTATTTTTCTTTGCAGCACTGAGGCACATCTTCTTGCGAGCATCTTGAAATAATATTTTCAAGTTAAATGTCAAACAATTAACTTGCAAGTGAACAAACACGTATATAAGACACTGAGTGATTGACGAGGGGATTCCCCGAGTGAGCCGGATAGGGAAATGCCCACCATAAACACCTGGCTCATTCTCGTCTCGAATTAATCTCGTATTTTGCTCATACTTTCCTCGTCTCGAGGTTTCATTGTACATTTCTGAATCCCATCCTAATACGGAGAGTACCTTTGCAGATTGCAACAGAGCTAGAAGAATTATTGTGTTAAAATGTGGAAATTGCATGCTTAAAATACTTGTTATTTTCTAAAAATATTATGTATGTCTATTTTTTCAAGAAGAAAAAGCTAAAAGCTGTTAATTACTCGATTTATTAGTCCAAAGGGCTTTGTCCTAAAGAACTATTGTTTTTGTTTGCATTGGTTCACTATAAATTCTGTTTCACTTTTCAAACTGTCCCCAAATGTTAGAGTCCTAGTGTGGGTTAATCTCTCTATCTTATGCCCTCTGTAACCTATGTTAGGGTTAACCTGTATAACCTACAAGGATTG